CGCTATTCGCTGAAAGAATGACGCCGCCGGCCGGATACAGGTCACCACGTGTCTGAGGCTGCCCACGAGCTTATTCAACTTCGTTCTGGTCGTTCGTTCGCAGCCGATAAATTCTTGAACCCGTGTCAGTGCCTTCCTAATCTTCTCTGGTGGCATGGAAACCGTCAGTGTCTTGAGATTCCCGTTGAGCCCAAGAGCTTTTCCTTCTTTGAACCAAGAAAAAACGTTTTCTCGTTGCACGCCGACGCTCCTAAACCGTCATCATTGAGGCCCGCAGAGCAAGATTCGCCTCGGAAAAACGGGAGCCAACGTCGGCTTCGATTGCGATGTGGTCATCGCACCATGCTTTAGCATCGAATGATCCCTTAGTACACGTTGGTTGGTCTGGCCACATTGGAGCTGCACATGCGTATAAGTGATTTATCGCTGCACCAGCCACCCAGTACGACGATGGCAATTTTTTCCACCCAAACGGGCAATATAGGTCGATCACAAGAATTCCCAGCTCCGGAATTGTCCCCGCAAAACGTCCAACGACCTCAGCAGCAATTGGAATGTGGCGGAAAGCGCCGTTGACATCCCCTGTCATCAAATGTTGCTGGTCTGGGTGTTCCGAAGCTACATCCAAGACGCGGTTGGCAATTGCTACTGCTCCATCATAAGAAATAGTGATTTCGCCCTCCTCTGCTTTATTATCATTGACTGACGCTCCTTTCGGGTAAGCCAAATCGTGTATGAGGCGAGCTTCCTTCGACAAGTCGACGTCACCCTTCTGGACCGCACCAAATGGGCTACAAGTGATGTCTTCTAGACTACCTAGAAGGTCAATATCGAGGATAACGTATCGGTTTGTGTCTTGACCGGTTCTGAGACTTTTGATGATGCTGTTCAAAGCACGCAGAGCGGAACCATGGTTTTTTGGAGGGGAGAACTGCTTAGGGAATGGCGATTTCCACTTAGGTTTTACACCGTGGTGAACGATATTCGACCATTTGCTCTTGTGGTCGTAGTAATTCCAGGACGGGTTCCACGATGAGGTCTCCAGAGCATTGTTTGGTCTTGAGTCGAAGTTGGTTTCGCCACAAAGGAGACGAACAAATTCAGGAAGTTGCATCCTTGAGCGGCGAATAAACTCACTGTACACACGTTGTTTTTCTCTGTCAAGAAGGTGCCTTTCCTGCCCATTGACATGTTCAGCTGCGGGACATGGATTTGGGGGTAAATGTCCATGTTGACGCAGTGCTTTGTTAAACGTTTCCAATACCGAGGCCTCCCAATGGTCCTCTACTCGTTTGCGTGCTTGCAGCGTTTTGTCCGACACACGCTGACGCTGTAGTAAAAAGGTTTCCAACGGGGGTCTGCTGACACCCTCATCATTGGAGGAATCTTCACCGTTTTCTGACTTTTGGGACTCGCACAAATGGGAGGAGGTGCCACCGCCATTATGTGGAGTAGTGGACGAGCACAATTCTAATGAAATTGCGTCGTGAGAGACGTGGTCATTCATGTTCATGGCAATTCATGGTATAAAACTGGCGGGATCTCCAGCCACTGAACGTGCTGCAGATTGATCTCCAGTCGTAATGGGGGCCATGTCGACATTAGGGCGTATCCACCGTCATTCGAGGTCTGCTGCTAAGCCGCCGTACGTCCTCTCGATGTACTGTTTAACTACGTCCTCCAAGACTGCGGGTTTGAAGTGGACGCGACCTTCAACTCGGCATTTACCATTCCAGCCACGACAGCCTTCTCGTGAAAGGTACCTCATACAAACCGCCTTCCCACCTTGTTTGGGCAGTGCCTTAAGGACCTCCAGCGGTACTGGTCCTCTAGCCGGTCGTTTCGAATAGCTTCCTGTCGTACGGGTTGCCGACGGCTGCTCACCGGTCCTTCTTCGTGTCACCGCTGTATTGGCTTCAGCGAGAGCTGCTTCGACGTCTTGGCGAAGGATCATTTGGTTTACGCGCAAGAAGGCTTCGTGTGAGGTGCTGAATTGGGTTTTAATCTCAGTCGCCAAGGTGATTGCGCCGTCCGCGATGTGAACTCGGAATAATTCGACTCTTTCATCTGTCCACTCGACTAACTCCGTTAGAGCTCGCCTCGTGTTCGGCATTTCGCGCACACGTAGCTCCACCAAAACTTTTAAAACGTGAGCGAAGAGGTCTTGAACAACGGGCTGGTAGAGTTGATTAGCCACATTTGCAAGCACTTCCACTGCTCCAACTACCATCGAGAACTCTGATACCGAAGAAGGAGCTGGCAGCGAATTCTTGCGAGAAAAATTACTCATATCGTACCGACGGACAGAGTCTCGTCTCTCCCTCTCGGTCACACGCACGAAGTGCATGATTGTAACGGGGTTACACGGGTTTACACCTGGTGTGTTCCACACATGGGTACGGAGTACCCGAAGAGTTAACAAACCCTCAGTACATGACTCGTAGAGTTAACAGTGGCCTCAGTACATAGGCCGAGAGCCACAGGATATGCATTTGATT